CATTAGGCAGTACTTCACCCGGCGCAGGTTGTGTTCTTTTTGGAGGTTTGGAAGAAAACATTTTTCCTGAATTTAGTGCTTTTTCTTGGAAACCCTAAACTTCTAATTTTGGGATGCTTGTCTGAAAGAGCAGGTTCAGATCTTGCGACTCTCTTTGTTTTCTTCTTGTTTCGAAAGTTGGAGAAATTTTTTCGTTTTCTTGCTTTGTTTTATGGGTTTCTCCTGGGTAGTACTACATGCAGGGCAACTAGATTTCAGTTTTGTGGGGGTGCTAATTGCATAAATCCCTTCACTCACCGGATTAATCGTTTCCCTTTGCAGACCAGTTTGAAGGACAGTGGTGCTGGTTCTTGCCATCTGGGTGGTGCTCCATTTGCTAAGGTGAGGTCTCCTCTGCCTGTTTCTTGGATCTCGTCGGTGTATATCTCTCATCACTCCCTGATTTTTACTCATGATTTCAAAATCCACTGCAAGTACTCCTTTCTACATATAATCACCTGAATTTTAACTCATGGAAGCACCGCTAGGCACAAACTGTCAGATAAAAACTATAGCTAACCACCACAACAACACTAGTACTAGAAGTCTAGAAGTATAAATTGTATGGTATGCTGTGGAACTGTGCACATGGTGTGTAAATGCTGTGATACTCTGTTGGCTACTGAACGTGCAGACTTTATGGCCGAGGGCATGGCAATGGCCCGCGCTGGATCATTGGTTTCAAAGCTTGATTCCAAGATATGCTATCATAGGGATGCAGCCCTTGAGTACATGGAAATCAAGGCTGTGGTTGGAGAAGTCATAGAAGAAAAGGAGATGCTCCAGCAGGATTATCATGGTCTGTAATCTCTTTCATATGGTTCTCTATTTCCAAATTGGTTGCTTATAGGACCCTGATAACTCTTGTGATCATTGGCATGTGTCACGACACGTTTTTGGCAAGCTTCATCGTTGTCGTGCATTTATTTCAGTCTTGGACCATTTAGTGCTAAAATATCAGCTTTGATGTGAAAATGTCATGGTAACCGGGGACATTTTGGCAGCACTGAAAGGTGAACTTGAGGCGGCAAAGAAAACAATTGTGGAAGTAAACAAGGAGCTTGCAGCAGGAAACGAGGAGACCTCTCTCAGTAAGAAGGAGCTGGAGCTTGTAAAGAAGAAGCTTCAAGACTGGGAAGCTAAGCAAAATCTATCTGAGCAACAGAATTGCTCTGCTTCTGAGCATGTCCAGCCTAGTAATAGTAAGGTAATCACACCAACGTATAGTACCAACCCTTGCTTGAAAACAAAATGTGTTGGTTTCGCAGTGTTATCTGTTCATTATTTTTTTCTAATTTGTTATCTGTTCATCATATTGCCATGCAACTTAACACCTTCAGGAGTTATATATCTTTTGTTGTAGTCTATATATATGCAAAAACAAAATATCTTCAGTCTATGTAACTTGGTAGGTTCCTTTCTGTTTACTGTTTGTCCTTGATAAACCATGTCTTCTTTATAAAAGTTTTGGTACGAAGCAGGGGCAGAAAAGATCAATGAGGCACCAGGAAGTGCCATCTCAAGGACCTCTGAGAATTGATGCTGACAAACCTGACCTGGCAGAAGAGCGTCCTGGGAGCATGCTGGTAAACAACCCCATTGTTGGCCAAACCTCAGTTGTTCCACCAAGCACAGATGATGACATGGTGGCCCTGCGTGAACATCTGATCAAGGTTTGCTCAGAGCCATGGAATATTTCTCCAGATATATGTAGATAGATATTGCATAGTTCATAGATATGGTAGCCGATGTGACATGCAAATCATTGTTCCAGCAATTCCTTGAAATCGACAAATACGGCGGGTGGATCATCGGGATAAAGGAAATGGGCAAACTGAATGTGAAGGCATTTGAGATTGCTTGCGCTGAGAAGTTCCGTACCACAAAAGCCGCTGATGCGTCAAGTAAGCTGTACTCACTGTGGCAGCAGCGGATCACTGACGTAAGCTGGAATCCCTTCCACACGGTCACGGTCGAGGGCAATCATCAGGTATGTCAATTGACAGTTGTGGAAAGCTTCTTGGCATCTGACTAGTTGTGTTTAACCAATTATCGACATTAAAAGATCATGTGCTGCTGCATTATCAGGAGGTTCTGAATGTCAATGATGATAAGCTGCAAGAACTGAAGAAGGAATGGGGAGAAGGCCCCTACAAAGCTGTCATCGATGCGCTGATGGAGATGAAAGAGTACAACTGCCTAGGCGACAGGAGCACCGTCTATGAGCTATGGAACTACAGGGCGGACCGGAAAGCCACCCTAACGGAGTGTACTGAGTACATGGCCGATCGTGTGCAGCAACTCACAGTGGTCAAGCGCAGGAGGAGTCGCAGGTACATACATGTAGCTGTTTTTCTTTTCTTTTCATTTTGGCGATGATAGCATCTGAATGGCAGCTGCATGCATACATTACTGTGCTTCTAGTTCAACCATACCCATATGCTTGTGTTTAATCACCTGTGAGGCATTTACTTGGTCTTTAATCATCTGAGAGCCTTTCATTTTCCCTAGATTCTATTCTTTTGCTTATCATTTTATTTGTGAATCTTGCGGCATCAGAACATCAGCCTATATGGCACATGAATCTTTGATACCCACCGTAGAAATCTCAAGGTAAATCTTTGTGTGATGCAGACAGGCAGAATAAGGCCTGACCTGGTGATCCATGAAACATCAGATCATTGAAACAAAGAAGAATTCCACACTGAGTTCTTGGTGTGCCCTGTCATGATTTTCTTTTCTTTTTGTGTGATGCAGGCAGGCAAAAATAAGGCCTGACCATGAAACATCAGATCCTTCCTGAAACAGTTTTCTGTAACAGCAATGAAAGCTTGCTTTGTCTAAACAAAAGTTTCCTTTAAACAAGAAGCTAGGGTCAAAGTCGATACGCTTTCTAAGCAAACACGCATCTGTGCTACTGAAATTACCAAAGCAGCTTACTTGTACTGATTGTTGAGCTCATTGGTTCCCTTTGTATTATCATGCAGGACGATATGATGGCTCCTGCAAGATGCACTAGCAAGGAACAGAGGCTGCTGACCCCCCTTAGTAGTAGCTAAGCAGTAAAACTGTTGTGTGTGTGCTTTGGATAATTATTAATCTGGCTGTGGCAAGAGAGGGGAAACTATGAGAGCAAGCCCTTTTGACGTTGTTGGACCAAGTTGTAGCTTATGGCTATCTGTACTGTTCTACTTTATGCTCACCTCTATCTAAAACAATGCTACTCTGATATTTGAAATTCCTGCACCCGGATTTCAAAAGCAGAGCAGGTGTGCTTGTATGTTTAGGCTATCAACTCTTAAGTCTTGCTGAAGTAGTGAAGTGCATGCATCAACATGGTTGTCATTATCATGTTTCAAGTCCGTTGGGTATCTAGTAGCAGCATAATTTTCTACAAGCACTTTTGAATAAATTTTGAAAATTGCAAACATGAAAAACATGGTTCTCTATGGCTCCTTGAGATTGCATATATCTTACTCGAGGAGCAGTAAGTAATCATACGAAGATGGACAGGCGTTTGGGAATCGGATTCGTATAGATGTTTTGTAATCATGATCGACATCTGTTTTTAACAAAGAAATCAGAAGAAAAAGTAAGCAATTGGATGAAAAGAACGAATGAAAAGAGAACACGAGGACTATGAGTCAGTTTTGTTTACATTCGGTCCTTGAGATTCATTGCGGTTCTCATGATTCCTGGTCTCTTTTCTTTTTTCATTTTTTATCATTTATACGACGGCAAACCATGTAGATTGGCGTTTGTTTATCTTTATTATTAACTCCGAAAGAAGTATAGTTTCCACCCTCAAATCCACTTTTATGTTTCCATAACCCCCCAAAGTCAATTTTGGTTTGATTTAGACCCTCAAAATGTCAATACCAGTTTAATCTAACCCTGAGCGGTTTAGTGTCACAAATCAAGAGTGGTTTTGCATCTGGTTGCGTGATTTGTCGCTGACTTGACGTGCTTATGTGGCAGCAGGTCGCTGAAAACAAGTGGTCGGCTATTCTTCTCCGTACCGCAGAGGAGGAAATTGGAAGGGCCGCAGCGCCGCCGTCCACACCTACTGCAACTGCGTCGCCGTCGTCGGCCACCGTCTGTGTCGCTGGACGGCGCGGCGCCTTGGCATGGGATAGAGGAAGCGCGCGGTCTCTCGTATTCCGCGGCTAGTGCTACACCGCCGTCGCACGTCGCGGATCCGTCCCTGTCAGAATCACGTTTGCAATGAAATAAGCTTGTGTGAGGTTCCTAGGGCTTCTCGACCCTTCTTGTGTCTACAGTACAGAGGAGCCGAATCAGCGGCGACTCCGGCGTGCTCGTTCTTCCGCCGGCCCTCCTGAGCGTTTCCCTCGGCCCCAGCGGCCCCCAGGGCTGCTGGAGGTTAGGGGAACCTTGGATCTGGGCGCGGCATGTATATAGGTGCGGGGTGTCGTCCCCAGGTTCGGTTTTCGGCGCCGATGTATTGACGGAGCAATCGTCGGTGCGCCATGGAAATAATGTCCCCCAGCTCTGTCTCCGGCTCGTCGGCGTTGTGGCAGATGCTGGCGAGGGGCTTGTGGGGTCCTGCCTTTTGGCGCGATGGTGGTCTGGCTCGTCGGCCTTCTCCAGCGGTGCCGGCTCTTCGCGTAGGGACAAGGGCGGCTTAGTCTGTCAAGGCTGGTGGCTTGTGGGAGAGGGATCCGGTCATCTCTTTCGAGCTGATTTGGCATCGTCCCCAGATCCGGTGCAGGAGCAGCTTGGGGAGCATCCCCGGCATGGGGATCGCCTCCGGCCGATGTCTGATTTGGTTTTAGATCCGATTTGCTGGAATCGGTGGATGATTCGGTTCATCAACGCCTATGTGGCAAGGAGCTTCTCCTGCTCCAGGTTTGCTCAAGATCTGGCGTCTGCTCCGGTGATTCATCGTCAACAGGGATTTGGGGCGCCGAGCATGCAATTTCGAGGAAGGTCTCCATGGACTATTTTCCCTATGTATGGGGCTTTGTTTTCTGGCTGCGACAACACCGCCTGTATCCTTTGTGTCTTTCTGTATCTGTATTTGTACGTGTACTCGCATGGCTGTACTGTTTTCCTACTCGTATGAATACAAGTAACGTATGCCTTCGGGTGTACGGTTTCAAAAAAAAAAGAATCACGTTTGCAATGTGCTTGTAGTGATTGTCTTGATAGAAACAGAGCATAACGTTTTTGGCCGAATTTCATTGCTGAAGCGTGCGTGCTAACTCTGAAGTTAGATGCATTTGGACTGAATTCTGACTGCAGTTTTAGTAGTGCAGTATAAGTACTCTGAATGTTGACCGCATACTGAATTTTTTACTTTAGTTTTAGTACTGCAGTATCATTAGTCTGAACTTGGACTGAATTCGGAGTAGTTTCAGTAGTGCATTTGCAATTGACTGCATTTGACTACAAGTCTTGTACTACTACTGACGTGGGCTTGAATTGCATCTCATTCACAAATAACCTCATGCCCGTCTCCAGTCAACTACCTACGCCATGGAAGCTTCAGCCTCGATGCGAGATTCTTCAGTTGCATCTTCTCTGTGTTCAGACGATCCACCATCATGCCATGTTCCCCTACAGTCCACACCCTGAAATTGCATTGCAATCGGCGAACAATAGGATTTCTCTATAAAAATAGGCTCATACAAGATCAGCAAGAACACGCCTTTGATTTCCCTAGTACCTGCGCGCTGGATTCAGCACGCTTCAAGAAATCTCGTACTGCTTCTCTAGCTCGTACTGCAACGGACCCTCCTGATATGGCACCGTGTAACACCCCAGGAAGCGAGAGAGGGAGAGAGGATCCAGATCGAGCGAGGGAAGGGAGAGTGACTTGGAGAGGAAGAAGGAGGAATGGATTGAAGAGGAAGGGTTCAGAAGAGAGTGTCAATACACGCATAACACCCACGGCCACAGGCGGCCTCTTTTAACACCATCCACGCAGGCCACTTGGCTGGCCAGCTGGCTGGGCCCACCAGCCAACTCTTAGAGCACACCAACCACAGGTTAGGTGTGACATTCCTCCCTCCTTAAGACGCGCCTTCTTCTTCTTCCTCAGTGTCGTGATCGTCCTCTGCCTCCGCCCAAAGTGGTGCGGACAGAAAACGGTGGCGGAGCACGTCGTGATCTTCCCACATCGTCGGCGCGGAGTCGCCGGTGCCCCACTGCACCTTGAGCTGCACCACCGGCGCATCGCCGTGCTTCATCATGCGCCTGTCCAGGATGCGCGTGGGCGTGAGGTTGTCGACGGAGAGGTCCGGCACCTTGGGCAGCTCGCCGTACACCTGTGTGAAGTCGGGGGTGAAGGGCTTCAGCTGCGACACGTGAAAGACAGGGTGGACTTGGCTTTTTGGCGGCAGGTCGAGCTTGTACGTGAGCATCCCAATCTTCTCGATGATCTTGTAGGGGCCAAAGTACTTGAAGGCGATCTTGGCGCATGGGCGATTGACCACCGAGCGTTGAGCATACAGTTGAAGCTTGAGTAGCACGTGTTCGCCCGTCTGGAAGTGACGCTCGGTTCGGTTGCGATCGACATTCTTCTTGAACCGGCGCTGGGCGCGTTCCAGCTGAGTGCGGATGTGCGCGGTGTGCGCCGCCCAGTCCATCTCCTCATCGGCCGGCGCCGACTCCGCCCAGGATGCCATTGCGCCTAGGTTTGCTTTCGTGCCGTAGAGGGCCTTGAAGGGAGTGCCTTTAAGTGACGCATGGAATGTTGAATTGTACCAGAACTCTGCCATTGGCAGCCATCGGCGCCATTTGTGCGGCGAGTCATGAACTGTGCAACGGAGGTACATCTCCATGCGCTGGTTCACCCGCTCGCTCTGGCCGTCGGTCTGGGGGTGATAGGCTGTCGAGTAGAGCAGCTTGGTGCCGGCGCCCACGAGCAGCTCGCGCCATAGGTGGCTTGTGAAGATCTTGTCGCGGCCGGAGACGATGGACGCTGGAATGCCGTGCAGCTTCACCACATTCTCCCAGAATGCGTGCGCCACCTGCTGGGCGTTGAAGGGATGGCAGAGAGGAACAAAATGGGCGAATTTGGTGAAGTGGTCGACAACCACCATGATCGTGTCGTACCCCTCTGAGCGTGGCAAGCCTTCCACAAAGTCCATGGTCAGGTCCTCCCATGGCGCGGTTGGGATGGGCAGCGGGGCCAAGAGACCCGCCGGCTTGACGTGCTCGTGTTTGGCCTGCTGGCACACCGTGCACTGCTGCACGAAATCGGCGACGTCATGCTTGAGCCCCCGCCAGTCGAAGTGCTTGCGCACGCGCTGTTAGGTGGCGGTGGAGCCAGAGTGACCACCCACCACACTGCAATGCAGCGCAGCGATGAGCTTGGTGTGCAAGGCCGAATTAGCCTCGATCCAGAGGCGACCCTGGCGCCTGATGATGCCGCGATAGAGCTCGTAGCCTTAATCGTCCGGGCAGTGGATCGCCAGTTGCTGTAGCCGTTCCTGGGCGTCAGCGTCGGTGACGTAGGAGTTGGCCACCTCCTACACCCAGGCTGACTGGCACGTGGAGAGCGCGACCAACTCGAACTGCTTTCCCACGGGCAAGAGCGCGTCGGTGATGCCGTTGTCCAGCCCTCTTTTGTACTGGAAGCGTAATTGCAGCCCCACCAGTTTCGCCATGGCCTTGCGCTGGAGCTCTGTCTCTGGGTGTTGTTCTCCGAGGTTGCAGAGAGACTTGTGATCTGTGATGATGTCGAAGGGGCCGCGCTGCAAGTACTGGCGCCACTTGTCGACGACCATCATCACGGCGAGAAATTCCTTCTCATAGGTGGAGAGCTTCTGGTTGCGCACACACAGAGCCTTGCTGAAGTACGCCACGGGGTGCCCTCCTGCGCAAGCACCGCGCCCACGCCCGTGTCGCAGGCGTCCATCTCGATCGTGAACGACCGCGCGAAGTCCGGCAGCGCCAGGATAGGTGTGGTGACCATCGCCTACTTGAGCGTCTCGAACGCTGCTTGCGTCTGCTCGGTCCAGGAGAACCCTTTC